TTGGTGGTGGTGGCCTGGGATACCGTGAGCGGCCTGGCTTAGGATCAGAGAATGTGGTAAGCATCGATGCCTAGATAACAGACATATTTATTGCTACTAAGCATGCCCAAGACTTCTGCCTCAGTTGAACAATGCAACTTTGTGTCTTAGGATCGGGGAAACAACAGTGTAATGGTCAACTATGAAGCATATAAGCCATCCTCAGGAGCAATGGGGGACAGGTTATCTGCAATGAAAGCAGCGTTTCAGGTTAGTATGAAAAGAATCATATATTAAGATCTCATTGCCCTCATTGTAGTGCTGTTGCAATCAGGATATTCACTCCAAGATGTCTTTAATCTTTGGAACCCAGTGTCTGCTATTTGTACCAGGTTATCTATGAAGAAGAAAATCCAGCTAATTAAAATTATCACATAAACACTCGAGGGCTGTAAGGGGGACTAAATGTTACCTAACAATTCCCCACCCCACCCCACAAATCAGTTAAAACAGGTTCCTTAGCCAACACTCCAGAAGGTAGGCTTAAGTATAGAAGATTTTGACAGACTTTAACATTGGGCACTATCTAACAAAATGAAATTCAATAGTTAAAAAAGTAAGGTTTTACATTTAGGCAAGAAAAACAAAATGTGCAGGTATAGCACCTGCCTCAATAGTAATAACAGCGAGAGGGATCTTGGAGTCCTACTGGACAGTCACTTAAATATGAGCCAGTAGTATGCTGCAGTTGCCAAAAAAAAACCTAATAAGGTTCTAGACTGCATTAACAGAGGGATAGAATCAAGATCACACAAAGTGTTAATGCCACTTTATAATGCCTTGGTAAGGCCACACTTGGAATACTGCATTCAGTTTTGGTCGCCACGATGTAAAAAAGGTGTTGAGATTCTAGAAAGAGTACAGAGAAGAGCAACAAAGATTATTAAGGAATTGGAGGCTAAAACATATAAAGAATCGTTACCGGAAATGGGTATGTCTAATTTAATGAAAAGGGCTAGCGGTGATATTATAGCATTGTTCCAATATCTCAGGGGTTGCCACTTAGGAGAGAGAATCAAGCTGTTCTTCAAAGCACCTGAAGGTGGAACCAGAAGCAATGGATGAAAAATAATCAAGGCGAGAAAATTCCTGATAGTTAGAACAATTAATCAATGGAACAACTTGCCTTCTGAAGTTGTGAATGCTCCTACACTGGAAGTTTTTAAAAAGAGATTGGACAACAATTTGTCTGAAATGATATAGGGTTTTCATGTCTGAACAGGGGGTTGGAATAGAAGAACTCCAAGGTCTCTTCCAACTCTGTTGTTTTAAGTCAAGAAAGAGGTGCTAGTCAATAATTTCTGGCTACTAAGCAGAAGCTTATCCCATTTAGCGCCCGATCTCCAGTTTTAATTGGTGTTTAAACAGGCCCATGTTGCTTTGAGAAATTTTATGAATACTATTATATTTACTGTAGTGTTTTTTCTCTTGTAGTCCCAGTATAAGAGCCATTTTGTTGCTGCCAGCTTTAGCAACCAGAAGACGGGCAGTTCTTCAGCAGGTGCCAGTGGTTGGACCAGTGCAGGCAGCTTAAACTCTGTGCCAACAAATTCAGCCCAGCAGAACTCAGCTAAACCTGACAGTCCCATAGCAGTATCAGGTTTAGCAAAAGGTATCCCAGGTTTCACAAGTTCTGGAAACTTAAACAGCATCACTAGCTTTCCAAGTGCAGGCATTCAGGGTTACAATAGTGCAAATGCCGCCATCAACAACAACAACAGAGAAGGCAACAGTGGAGGCAGGGAAAGATACAATGACAATCGGGGTAGTAGTCGTCATAGTGACAGCCAGCGCCATGGAGATAGCAGTCGCCATAGTGATGGCCAGCGCCATGGGGAAGGTTACCGCCATGGAGAAAACCGCCATGGGGATAGCCATAGACACAATGAAGGCCGACATTCTGGAGGTGGGAGCAGCAGCAATAGTCGCCATGGAGACAACAGAAATAATGGAGACAGCCGGAACAACAATGACCGGAACAACAATGAAAACAGAAATATTGAAAATAGGAATAATGAGAGCAAGAAAGAAAGCAGCAACCGAGACAACAGCAAGACAGATGGTTTTGCAGTTCCTGAACCCCCCAAGCGCAAAAAAAGCCGATGGGATAGTTAAGCATCTGCACTTCTCCTCAAATGGCAAGGTGCTTTTCTCTAAGGTCTCCATACCAGAAGTGGCTATTTGGAAGGATAAGAGTGGACAATAGCATTTCCCAAGGAAGCCTGACTCAGTACATCCAATATTAACCACCTCCCCTTAATGCCACATCAGTTTTATGCTTTGGTCAAAAGAAAGTTTCCTCTTTAATATAATTTTTTTCGTGCTTTGCATTTGAAAAATCCGTCCATCCAGAGTGGTTTCACAACATTGATTATCCCTTGGAAAAATTTGTGGGGTTTTTTTAACTAAATATTTCTAAACATAAGAATAAACGGGATAGGGTATATTTTAATTTCTTCATCATAGACTTGACAGAAAGTGACTTGTTTAGTTGGTGTACCTACTCATCTACCTTTTAAATTTCTACAACGAGAATGGTTTTACACATTTTTCTTTTGGCTATAGTGGCTGGATGTGCCCTGGCATAGATTCTTAGATTCTTAATTTCACGCATAGGCACAGTTCATGGACTGTTTGAGAGTAAATCAAACTGATAAACCAGCAGACATTGTAAAGTTGTGATGATCCTTATGGCAGAAATCGAGGATGGAAGGAATGGAATTAGCCCTTTTACACCAACATTTTGGATCATGCATGGAAAGCCTGCTGCTTCATTATGGCTTGTATCAGTCTTTCAGCTGCTCTCTCTACTTTTCATCTGATGAATAGCACTGATTAATTTAAATCCCTTTCATTTTGAATTACTGAATACCAGGTTTGATTTCCGTATGTATGTATGTATGTATGTATGTATGTATGTATGTATGTATGTATGTTTTGTCGTCGGTAGTTTAAGCAGTTAAGAAGGCAACAGATGCAGATCACTCTATCTTTTATATTCACCTAATTGTATCTGCATGATTGTAGCTAAAGGAAAAAGATTAGAATTGTTTCTTAGATGTGGAAAGGCTACACAGCAGATATGTAGGCAATAATGCCACTTTCCCCTTTATATGTAAACTAGGTAAGACAATGTCTTTGGCTGAAATTTGACTCCTTTGATTTATTGCAATTACAATAGTGTGTAGAATAAAACACATTTCCTAGGACAAATGGAAATCTCCATGTTAATCTATGCAACATCCTATCATTTATATTTTGAAAGCTTCCTTGCAGAAGCAGAGATTAAAGTACACAATGAAACTGGTAATTGTAGCAGATGTTTTTACTCAGATTGAAGTCTCTGTATCTAGGAATGATCCAGGTTTACTTATATCGGCTTGTTAACAAGTATAGATTCTTGAAGCTACATTAACCTTGAATAGAAAAGACAGACCATGCATGCAGCTATGAAAACATAGGAAGCAACTAGGATTAATTTTGTTCTCAGCAATATTCATTTAAGATCTTTTGTTTGCTACTTTGTGGGTGTTTGCAAAGTTGTTCCTTCCTATCCCCAAGATTATATTCAGGAGTGTGGTGGAGAGGCACTTTTCATGTATCAAGTTTCTGTGATTGAGGGGGGGGGGCAGGCTTAAACCTTGTACATTTGGGAATGATTTTTTGAAGCAGCAGACATGAGGACCTGTGAAAAAACAAATTTCAGAATGACTGTCACACACCTCTGGAAAGTTAATGCAAAATGTTTTGCTTGGTATTTTTAATTGCATGTTCTTAAACTTCTTTTCCCAGAGGAATAGGAAAAAAATCTTGTTTGTATATGTTCTTGCTTTGCATTTTTATGAAGATATATCTGAAACTGTTAAGATTCTGTGACATGCCATGTCCTTTACTTTCCATGTTTTCTTCTAATAAATGTTTTATTACTAGTATAATTGTCTTGAATGGTCTTTAGTTTAGCTATTATTTTATTCCAAATTAGTTTTGAAAATGCAAAATACTTGATTGTTCTAAATGATATTAGGAAATCAAACTGGGATCCTTAAGAGATACTGGCTGGCTTTTGTGATATACTCTTGTCATATTAACTGAAGTTCTGTGCTTCATACAGAAGGTTTAATCATACATTTCCTACCATCTGTTTTTCTTTTAGACTACCTTGAAAACTGCATTTCCAAATACAAGTAGACTAGTAATGTGTACTTGCTAAAAGTATGTTGAATATGCTGTTGGATCAATGCTTGTTTCATCATTGTACAATCCACAGTAGTTTGGCAGGATAATCAGTTCTCTTCAAGAATGGTTACTGTTATGTTGGGAGGAATGGTTTGTTGAAAAATGGGACAAACTTCCATAGAATATGTTTTTTCAAAATCCATTGTATATCACTGATGTAGAATTGATAATTAAATAACAAATTAATGTTGGAAAGAAACATTGTCATTTATTTCTCACTATACTACAACACAAGAATAAAATTGAACATCAAAAACAAATTTACTTCTCTCACACTCCATACTGGTTGAATGAGAAAGTACTCTCTACTTAAAATTGGCCAAAATGTTAGCTAACAATTTTGCCTATTTAACTTTGGAACTCTTAAAAAAAAAAAACAAGTACTACAATATTACAAGTGAGAGAATTAAATGCTTTCCATTGATATAATATGTAGATAAGTATTGTTGCTAAGGATGAAATGGCAAATGCATGGCAAGAAGGCAGATCTGTCTTGCCGATCAGAATGTTTGGAAATAAATAGGTGCAATTTTGCTAGCGTTACATATCTCCCTGAGCGATCCTCAAGATCCATGATAAAATTATATATACACAATAACAGTCAGAAATGACTAATAAATAATCTTTTCATATCAATAGTAAACTAACTAGTCATTACAATGATGAGTAGCTCAGGATTCAATCTAGCAACTTGCTAACTAGATGGATAGACATGTTTTTAATCTTTATAGCATGGTCTCAATATCTTTTTTCAAGCAGGAATGGTTTTCTAGGTCTGGAGAATCTACCAAAACCTTAATTATCTCCTCAGGACCTTTCTGCATCATCTCCTGACTCAAGCTGTTATACAGAGTGGAAGAAACAGGGAAGTATTCCAGTGTAGCTCCACTGCTGGCTAGCTGCAATAGCCAATTTCTGGCAACCAAAGGCATAGCTATGGCGGTTGCAGAGGTTGTGCCCCAGCTGGCCATACTCAGACTGATGCTATTGGTTGCATGGGATGTTAGGCCACCATAATAACAGCTCCCTCCTGTGCTGGTGATACGGGTCTTCTGCTTTATATCCAGTAGCAAATTTCTCCGGAACCAAGCTTTTTTAATTTCAGTTTGTACCTAGAGATAGAGACAGGTCATCAAAGGAATGCAGCTTGGATAATTCAACACGTCTCTTGTTCTCAACTCTTGACTATGTGGTAGAAGCAGCTTTGGCCCAAATTATCAGGTGCCCACAATTCTTCACTTTTTCTTAACACTCCAATGTGTACTTATTTTTTTCAATTAGAAAGTTAGCCCTAAATTTCAAATTGGGTAACCCACCACAGTCTTAGGATGGAATGTTACCCCACATTATATTTTAGGTTTGTTTTTCGGAAAGGTCAAAGGTGAAGATTAGTGTGTATTTAAAAAACAAGCATGGTTTGTATGTAGACCGGGTATATGCAATTGCTATTGTGTGACTAAGTTCACACAAACTAAATTAATTATGTTTTATTGCTTATTAAGCATGTTTTTTGTGGTCATACATAATACTAAGCCAAGACCCAACATCAAATGTTATGGCTTAGCACAATGTGACATTCTAATCACTAACTCCAGAACAAAGTACTTGAAGTTTCTGGACTGCCTGTGAAGATTGGAGGCGTTGTGTTACACTGGTTCTACTCCATGATTAGATAGGTGTAGTCCAGGCATGTCAAACTAACAGCCCATGGGCCGGATGCAGGGGTGGGATTCTATTAGCACCTATTCACTAGAACCGGTTGTTAACATTCTAAGCAGTTCGGAGAACCGGTTGTTAGAAGAAATTACTGGCCTAATCCTGTAAGGAAGGCAGGAAGGAAACATTCTGGTGTTGCTTACAGAAACTGCCTCTCTGTTAACCTTTATTACATTCTTGGCAAGACTAGACTTCCTGTCTCAGGAACATCTCTGGAGTTTTTTTCCCCTCCTTTGCTGGTACTTTGCTTGTGTGGAGTGACCATTCAAAGTTACAGTGGCTCTGAAAAAAGTTACTTAGGACCATTATTCATATGTAATGACTGTTGCAGCATCCCTACAGTCATGAGAGGCCAGGAGGAGATGCATGCCTCAATGTGAGTGATATTGAGTTGGCCACACTCAGCCAATAACATGACCACCAAGCCATGTCCACCCAGTCAGATGACCACCAAGCCACACCCACCACCTAAGCCACGCCCACAGAACCAGTTGTTAAAAATTTGAATCCCACCCCTGGCCGGATGCATCACGTGCTGGCCACTCCCAGGCACATATTAGTGAAGGGGAAAACATGTGATATGTGATAACACGAGTTTGACATCCCTGGTCTAGTCAGTGTATCCTTGGCTACTCCTATGTGGGATGTCACAGGGCTCATATACAGTTTTGTTCTCCATGTTTAACGTAATAACGTAATCATGTTGAGAGAGGTCATCTATTGGATTAGAGTGAGACATCAGCTTCTCCCCCCACCCCCCCACCCACCCATCAGAATGGTCCCCTTTCTGTCTTCAGAAAAGGAGTTTACACCATCCTCTTCTATCTCAGCCTTTGGCGAATAGTCCCAAAGATGCTTTTTCAGGAGGGTATTGGACTTGCTTGGTTCTTTTTTGAAGACATTTCGTTTCTCATCCAATAAACTTTTTCAGCTCTGACAAGACAGTGGGGAATGGAAGGATTTATATTCCTTGCAGACAGCTGGTTATTCGTATCCTTTTAGAGGGTCTTTGAAGCACTTGGAAGTTTAGAGCTGAAGAAGCTTCTTGGATGAGAAGCAAAACTTTAAAAAAAAGCAAAGTCCCATTGCCTCCTGAAAAGTACCTTTTGGACAACCATGACTTGGATGATTGAGAATCTCTACAGACTAGAGAATAGGTTGGTTGGGGTTTTTTTCTGGCCGTAGTTAGTTTTAAGGTTATGTTGAAATTGTTTTCTTTGTGAAGGTTTTCACCCTTTACATTTTAGAATTCTGAGCTCAGGATTAATGGTTGGGTTGGAATACAAATTATATGCAATCAACTAGTCAATCAGAAAAAAGAATGCTGGGCCAAAAAGCACGGCTTTTAGCAAAACTCTATTTGGGGAATGTAAATATTTCATGCAAAGCAGTATTATTTTTCTGGAAGAGAAATATAAGTCAGATAGAGTTAATAAACTGGTGGCTTCACTTGAAAATCTATGCAAACTCTGAAGAGAAAAGTCAATTTTATACACATGCTCATGTTTGTGTCTACATAAACATAGCTGCAAAGTCTTACCTCACCATTGCAAAAGCAGTAAATTAGAGCCACGAAGAAGCCCTAATGAGAGACAGAGACAAATCAAAAATCAGAACTTGTTGAAATAGAGTGATTCAAAAGCAAGATTCATGAGCAAAAACTCACCTGTAAAGAATTGAAGAGCATCTCATAATGCATCTGTATCTGCCAAAGTGTGCTGGAGACAGCTGTGTAAGGCGTAGCCATGAACACCATGTAATGGACACCAAAGAGAGGCATCAGGACTAGGGTTGACTTCAATAGTTTTCTGAAAATAGCAGGATGGAGGGAGTATTTATGGTATCTTGTCACACCCACCCACCCCGGGTTCTCCAGAAAAGTGTTTCAACCTTGGCAACTTTGAGATGTATGGACTTTCAACTCCCAGAAGCTGCATAGTTTAAAATAAAACAGAATGCTTGATAATAAGGCTAGTGAAAGTTTGACCCTTAAAAAGACTAAAAGCTTGAAGAAACAATTACAGTAGTAAGCCAAGACTGCACTTCTTACCCCACTGCAGGAGAGCATTCCTGTTGACTTATACACCAAGGGTACCCAGGTCTGTGACTGGCACCTGTCTGCGGCATGCTGGAAACCAGGTCACACAAGTAAGACCCCATCCATGAGATGCAGGGAGCACGCAAAACCATGCCCGCTCTGGTCCATGGAAAAACCTCTCCCCACAGAACTGGTCCCTGGTACCAGCTGGGAGACCACTGCTATTCAGGATTACTAGAGTGGGTAAGACTAGAATTTGCACTCTTGTTAGAAAAATTATAAAAGGGGAGAAATAGATGCTTTAAACTTTCCCAGTCTGATGTTTGTATTTTTATTAAGAGGTACATTTTGGCCACTTAAAGCCCCCACAAGACTCACTCATACATACACACTCAAACCAGACCTGCCTGCTTTACATTACTTTGGGAGCTAGAAATGAGAAGCAGGATGGTTGTATCTAGTCTTTAGATGACCCAATCCTGCCCTAGATCCAAGTTTATTTTGGTTACTATGAATTGGGGTCTGTTTAATAGTTATTGGTAATATAGGGGATTTCTTTTTTAAACAAATAAAAACTTGACAAGCTTTAAGACTTGTGAACTTCAACTCCCAGAATTCCTCCTCCAGGCATGTTAGCTCAGGAATTCTGGGAGTTGAAGTCCACAAATCTTAAACTTGCCAAGTTTGAAGACCCTTGCTTTAAGCAATCTAAAGTGATGAAAACATAGTTTATAAAATGGAAATGACCATTGTATTCCAGAATGTCTATAAGATTGATGTTAACATTCTCAATTAAAAGAACTGAAATAATAGTTTATTGCAGAGCTAACAGAGAAAATCTAGTTCAGCTGTGCCTAAATACATACCTGTACTGTTGTCGTGGATCTAATTTCCCTGTGTTTGTTTCCCATAGTTTGGATGCCAGAACTCTCACAATATTGAGGAAAAGAAAAAAATTCACCTGCCAGCAGCACAGAAACACAGAGACAGACATTTCATATAGTGGTAGAATTATACAGTTGCTTTATTCCTCCCAGGGGTCTCCAACCTTGGCAACTTTAAGGCTGGAGGACTTCAACTCCCAGGATTCCCCAGCCAGCGGAGCTGGGTTGAAGTCCTCCAGCCTTAAAGTTGCCAAGGTTGGAGACCCCCACTCTACACTACACAGGCAGTCCTTGACTTACAATCATTCATTTGGTGATCATTCACAATAACAATGGCATTAAAAAGGTGATTTACAAGCCATCCTTGTACTTACAATGATCGTAGCATTCCCACAGCCATGTAATCCGAATTCAGGTATTTGGCCACTGGCATGAGGTCTCCAAACTTGGCAACTATAAGACTTGTGGACTTCAACTCCCATAGCTGGCTGGAGAATTCTGGGAGTTGAAGTGCACAAGTCTTAAAGTTGCCAAATTTGGGGACCCCTGGGTTATAGCATCTGGGGTTCATGCGATCACCACTTAGGATCTTCCCAAGTGACTTCCAAGTTCCAACAAGCCAAACCAATGGGGCAAACTGGATTTGCTTAATGACTGGATTATTTAATTAACTGCAGTTAACTGCACTTAATAACAGTGGGGAAAAAAAGTCAGAAAATCAGGTACAACTTAAGAGTTGCCTTGTTTAGCAATGGAAATTCTGACCCCAATTGGTCATTTGTTGAGGACTATCTGCATATGGTAGCAATATATTTTAATGGCTATTTAACTCCCATCCCAAACAATTATGAAATAGTACAGCTTCAACTTACAACCCAAAAAGCATCAGGACTAAATAAAATTCCAGAAAGACCTAATTCTTAATAAACAATGCAGATCCAATGGACCACTCTAAAACTTAAGATTAAGTGATATATATGAAAGATGCCATGTGTTATTTTAAAACTAATTTCAACCATTATAAATATGGATTAGTTACTCAGCTACAGGAAACGTGTATTACCAAACTCCCAGCCATTCTTTACCCTTCTTACCATAATCGCTGCTAAGATTGGGACCTGGTAGATCCATTTCATGTTTCCAGCACTGAGGTCCCAGCATCTGACAAAGAGAGGTTTGCATTCAGCCACGACAGTTAATTTAACCAGAATATGACTTACCTTCTTTCCCCAAACTCCTCCACAATTGCAAAAAAGGATTTTTAATATCCACACTTCTTTCTTCTCTTTTTTTCCGGTCAGGTAGACTTTTTGAAATACCCATTGAGTCTACTTTCTAAGAAAGCTTTCGGCCTTCTTCAAGGGTTTAAAATGATCCTGGAAGATGGTGCATTGTTTTGATGCCAATTATAAATGGCATCCATCTTACACATCTCTATATGTGTGTAAAAAAATGAGAGTGGCAGATAACCTGGTGGGTTCTAAGCGAAATACCTGGAATGCACACCTTGAGTACCGTTTGAAATTTGGAGATTTAATCTCCTAGACTAAGGGTGTTAAACTCCTGTCATCACGGCAACATCACGTGACATATCGGGACTTTTTTCTCCTTCACTAAACTGGGCATGTGTGTAGTGTGATGCATCCGGTTTCATGGGCTGGGAGTTTGATAGCCCTGCCCTAGTCCCTACTCCTTCTCTGTGACTATGGTGAGGGTAGTTTGTTTCCAATCTCTCAGGGTAAGATGTAAGCAAAGTAGAAGCTACGTACTGTGTATCTGCCAGAGATGCTCTTACACCGGCCCAGATAGATACAAAGACAGCAGGTGACCCTCAAAGGAAGAAGAAAAAGAAAAACAAGCAGAAAGAGATCTGAGTTTCCAGTGATATCTTAACAAGACATCAAGGGAAAAACAGACTAACAGAATAACACCATACCTATCATTTCATCCTGAAGGGTGAGAGAAATAGTAAGAAGTTGGGAACGCAAGGCACCTTTAGGGGAGAATACAACACCTGATATCCCTCAGCTGATACTGAGTAAGCGGGGGAATCACAATGTTAGTGCAGACACACTAGTAAGAGGCACCAGAGACAGTTCTGGTGGCCCAAGAGCAAAACTGAAGTAATCAGGGACATCCTTGGGGCAAAAAAGAAGATAATGATCATGACCTTATAATCAAAGCCTCATCCCTTGTATCCCATGAAAAAGGAGCAGTGCCTTTAACTGCACAATTCTGGGTGCCATTTTGACTTTTTGGATTTCCCCTGCTGCTGCTGCTCCTGCTGCTGCTGAAATTATAAGAGTTTAAAAGACTTTTATGTTACCCACATCCTTCAATATCTCTACATGAAGCTGCTAATCCAATTTGCAGAGTCACAGATAAGCTAAGGATAACAGCAGAGGATAACCTGCAAACTGGACTGTTCTTACCCCATCCAATGAGGGTGAGGGCCCACAAGTAGCTTTTGTTGGACAGGAAAGCCATGAAGATTAAACTGTGGAGGTAGAGACCTTCCACCAAGATCCAATAATGGTTGGTAGCCAGGAAATAGAGGAAGACAGTCACTGCTACTTTGCAACCTGCCTGGAGAAATGGAGAAACATACCACATGAGTTTTGGCTAAACTGGCACAGCTAAGAGTTTGTAGCTGCTTTTGGGTTCTGATATTTCAGTTTCTTGAAATCCTGTCTGTTCCTATAGATACAGTGCAAATTATTCAATTCTAAAATTGCTTTACTAGATCAAACTCAACTCTACTTCCTCTAACATTTTGTCTTCAGTGTCAAGCAGCTGCCAAGATGATCATGCAAAGTGTCTAATGTCTTTTTCTCCAAACATTTGATAGCAATTGCAATAGCCCTTACACTTATATACCACTTCACAACGCTTTTACAGCCCTCTCTAAGCAGTTTACAGAGTCAGCATTTTTCCCCCAACAATCTGGGCCCTCACTTTACCGACATTGGAAGGATGTAAGGCTGAGTCAACCTTGAGCCAGTGAGGATCAAATCCTTGGCAGTCAACAGAATTAGTCTGCAATACTGCATTAGTCTGCAATACTGCATTCTAACCACTGTGCACCACAGTTCCTGGTACTGCTGTAGTGAATGCAGAATTTCTATTAAGGTGTTCTGGCAAATACAGGTAGACCTTGACTTACAACAGGTCGCTTGGTCACCATTCAAAGTTACCACAGCACTGAAAAAAGTGATTTATGACTGTTTTTACACTCATGACCATTTCAGCATCCCTATGGTAATGTTATCAAAATTCAGATGCTTGGCAACTGGCATGTATTTATGATGGTTGCAGTGTCCCGGGGTCATGTGATCACCTCTTGTGACCTTCTGACAGGCAAAGTCAATGGGGAAGCTGGATTCACTTAACAATTGTGTTATTAACTTAACAACTGCAGTTATTCACGTAATAACTATATTAAGAAAGGTGATAAAATGGGGCAAAATTCACATAACAAATGTCTCAGCCACCGAAATTTTGGACTCAGTTGTGGTCACAAGTTGAGGACTACCTGTACTATGAGTTGTCATGTTTTGTATACTATATTAATTGTGCTACTTTGAATTTACACTAGGAATAATTACTTGTGTGACTTATTGTGCAACCTGGTGACATTGCTTGAAAGATTGTATTGTTGTTTTTCTGCCTTTATGAATAATGGAACCTATAAGGACTTGTCCTTTTAAACTGGAGAATGTAACTTAACTATTAGTTACCAGGAACTATTCTTTGAAAACAACCCCGACTCCCAGGGCTTGAGGAATGCAACTGAATAAGCTTCTTTAACCACCAATTACTGTAGATTATTCAACAAACAGGATGAAAACAAATTTGCTTGAAGCAATGTCAGATCACTGGGGGAAGAAGTCACCAAGGAATTCCTTGTCATGAAATTTACCAACTGGGTTCTTGGTCCCAAAGTGAGGGTTAGCTCTTCAGCATCCCAATCATGGTCTTGTCCTTTCACCAGTCCTTCTGGGCGGAAGGTAGAATATAAAACTATATCTTTCACAAAGATGCTCCCAGCTCGGCAGATGAAAGAGGCAAAAAGGTGGAGATGGATATAATTCCGATTGCAGTGAAGGTGCCTTTAATACAAAACACACAGGAAAGATTTAATTTACCCATTAGTTACATTTTTAATCTAGTCTTTCTTCCAAGGAGACATATATGATGTAGCTTCCCTCTACTTTTACCTTCTATATATTTGTTTCTCAACCGTGGCAACTTGTAGATGTATGGACTTCAATTCCCAGAATTCCCCAGTCAGCCATGCTGTTAGAGAATTCTAGGAGTTGAAGTCCACAAGTCTTTGACTTCAACTTTGAAAAACACCCATTTAGTTTAACTGAGAGAGACCCAGGGGTGGTATTTAGCAGGTTCTGACCAGTTCTGGAGAACAGGTAGTGGAAATTTTGAGTAGTTTGGAGAACCAGCAAATACCACCTCTAACTGGCCCCGCCTCCATCTATTCTCTGCCTCCTGAATCCCGGCTGATCGCCTGGGTCTTCTTGTTGCCCTCTATAGGAAAATGGAACTGGAAAGCAGGTTAGTGGTAGGGGGAATCGGATTTTGCAGTAACCTTCCCCTGGAGTGGGGTGGGACTGGAAATTTTACAGTATCCTTTCCCTGCCATGCCCACCAAGCTACGCCCACAGAACTGGTAGTAAAAATTTTTGAATCCCACCACGGGAGAGACCCAAGATTTCTCCACTTCGATGTCCAGAGAGGGCTTCTATCTGAGTTTTGGTCCTAATCCATTGACTACATTGGTTTACAACAGTGGAAAAGCCAACGTTACAGCCACACAACAGCAATAGGAATATACAATAGACTTCTTTCCTTACTTGAAGAAGCAAAGGATACACATAGCAACCACAAGGGAGGCCAAGGAGATAGAATAGCCAACTGTATAGATGATGTGCAAACGGTCAAACAACTCCTAGAAAAAGAAAAGAGAAATATACCTAAATAATGAAGCATCTTTAAGATCACTATGATAACTTGGTATTTAAAAAAAGGTCCCACCTATTTCATTTGAGCAGAAACAGCAGCATGGAATAATATATATTAAAGGTCCAACAAATCAGGTCAAAGGTAAATCCTAGAGTCAGTTTATAGTCACTTACAGAGATTCCAGTAATGTATTCACATAAATATCATGGCAATAATACATAAGTTTATTACTACTGCCATCTCCTGTTGCATTTTTTTTTAATTTCCTAGTCTAGATACCAATAAAGTTCCTCAAGAATTCTCACCAAAATAATAACTAGGTCTCATTGTGCTTCAATTTTCAAGTCAACAAACCAAACAAGATGCTGTAAATTTAACTGGTCAACAGATCAAGTAAAAAGGCTCGTTTCTAAAACAATTGGCTATTAAACAAAGCAGCCTTAATATATATATATATATATTAAGCCACAATGCAGAGAGGATCCCTAGTAAAAGTCATTTTCACAAGTTATTAGATTTCAGTTATCAGAAATAATGAGGGAAATCGTTTAGAAAAAGTTTACAATGTGAACTTAAAAATTAAAGCCTTTATCAGAAGTGCCTTTTGACTGATTAGTTCTCTTTCTGAAAGGTCCATAGAAAATGTTAGTTAAGTATTAGATTTCTGTTAATAGAATTTGGTTGGGTTTATTGCTGAAATGTTAAGATTCAGTTTACACAGGTTTCTGCCTGGATTTATATATTTATTTGAAAATTTAAAAAAATGGCTCTTAAAGAAATGTGGCTTTTTAATTTCTATTTTACTTTTAGATCTAAAAATCTGGTTTCTAGACCAATAAGGATAGAGGAGCTGTCCACTCATTGTTTGGAAGATGTTACTCCCAAATATCCAACCAAGCACAACCATGCAGGATAAGAATTTTTGGAACCATTCTTTATTTTTGACTGAAACATTGTGTAAAGGGAAGTCCCCCTCAGCCCCCGTCTCAGAGACACAGAGTGATCTTAGTATAACAAAAATGTATAATCCTTCTTTAAGTGATTTGAGGCCTGCCTAATTGAGTGGGATAAGATTTATACCAGATAATAAGTTCCAAATCCCTAATATAGTAGTGATGAGTGCCAGTCTGTCTGGCAACATCAATTTTGAAGTCAACTAAACTCCATGCCTGACCAGTTATAAAATAATGTTGATTTTTCGTTTGAAAAACTAAAATGGAACCTAATCTTTATTTCCAATATTGATTTTAGGCCCAAATTAGAACCAGGAGGCCTTTAAAAAAAAGATAAGAGTATGCAATGCCATGCTCTGTTTGAACTTGTACCCATCAGCCCAGAAAATTGACAGAACAAATAAATAATCTGAACACAATAAGCTGTTCCATGAGAGTTTTCATAACATAATCCCCAAATTCCTAAAGTGCCCACTGGTGTGTAAAGGTTGGACATGCTGCTTTTAAATCATTCTGTATGGCTTAGTAAGCTGTGCAAATCTGACTGTCAATGCTAGAAAGCTAACCATGGTTTATAATTTAATGTGTGTTATAGGATCACTGCCAAGTTCTTTCCCTCCTTGAATAATTGCTTGGATTTATCTTGCCTGGCCGAAAGGATAAAGAAATACTCCTGGTCTCATAAAACTCCCAAATCTCCTGCTTTGATGGTTTCTGCTGTCCCTCCTTCCTCTGTTGCAAACAAAGAATGGCAAACTTTCACCTTTTCTTGGTCCTGCTGTTCTGGGGCAAAGAAGAGGACACATTCTGTGTAATTGGCCCAGGTTTTGTTCGTATTAGGGACCAATTGCCAATTTCCATCATCATTGCAACGTCTGTAGGCATGACCTGAAATAAAGAACAAGAGGAAAGCGATATGGCAAAAAAGGGGGGATTGTCTGCAGGGGATAGCACAAACAATCAAGATGGTAGCTATGCTGGTATGATCAAAACTTACCCATCATTTATGTTGTCACAATGCACACAAAAAACAAGCAAAATTTGATTGCCCTGTCAGCCCCACCATTCTGACTTTTTCTACCATATTCTACAAACACTCTGGCAAAAGAACCTTCAAATTAATCAAAGTAGGAAATTCCACTAAGGCTTGCCAATAGTCCATTTTTTATGAAGATAAAAAGGTAAGTGTTAATTGTTTGGGGCTTGGTGGACATATTGATGTAGCTCACTAAGAAACAAAATGGAAATGTTTTGCCAGTGCTTTCTGCCAAAAGGTTTCTTTATTTCAAAAACCTAGTCTTCTGCTCTGGGATTTCCTAGTGATCTGTCATTCAACTCCTACCGTCATTGCTTAGTCTGTTGACATTAGCCAAAGTGCTGCTCCTTAGCTGCATTATATGAAAGAATGATAAACCCAATAATGTTCCCAACACTGAGTCAAGGAATAATGAGGAAAGCTGCCTTGCACAGAGGCACAGTTCCATTTCTTGAATGGAAAGGAAGAGCACCATTTTGCTCTTCTTTGTAAAAAACACTTTGTCTAAGTTACTTTGATATGCTTAACTCTCCTTTGCAGTAAAAAAAAGGAAGTGCCATATTTCTTCAGCAAAAACAACAAAGAATATTGTCCTTGCTTCAGTCAGATGCTTTATTGATACGTTTGACTTACAAACTTACACTAGATATGAGTTAAATCAGACTTCATCATTTGGGGCTACATCACTTGGGGATTGATATAGAACAACCATAGAAGTGTATATGTCAAGATGGCATATGCAACTGAATGAATGAAGCCAACCCTTTTTACATGTGTCATATAAGGCAGTGGTCCCCAACCACCGGGCCCCGGACCGATAGCGGTCCATGGATCATTTTTTACCAGGCCGCAAAGAAGTAGGCGCCGCCATCTTGTTTCGACGGCACTTGAGAAAGTGCTTCTGGGTGAGCTTGTCAGTCGTTGGTTGGAAAGTGGTGTTTGGGTGCTGAAGGAATCCTTGCGCCTTAGTTTCATCGGGGGAGGGCAGCTTTGAACGAAGAGCAGTTCTGATGGCGGTGGAGTCTCGCTTTAGGAGGAGATTAAGCAAGAGCCCGAAAAGCCCATCGACAAAGGTACAAAGGAGGAGTTGAAGGTGGCGGGGAGAAGCAGGGGATGGCTGGATGGCTGGTTGCTCGGCTCGCCTTGCCTTGGTCGTGCGTGCTGATGCCGGTACCAGTCCGTGGATCATTTTGTGATGCTGGTACCGGGCCATGGGACAAAAAAAGTTGGGGGCCACTGATATAAGGCAGGCAGTCCCCAACCTTTCCGGATTGGTGGCCAGGGTGGGAGGGGAACTGGCCCATGCAAGTAGTGGGCCAGTATGCCTGTGCATGGAAGCACAGCTCGACTTGCACAAGTTGAGTGGAGTATACACATGCATCCAAGCCTGCCACTTGCACGGCCCGGCTGCAAATAGGGGCCACGTCCCTCATAGTGGGCCACAACCCAGGGATTGGGGGATATAAGAGACATAAAATGCTATTTGATTTGGAAGGCATGGTACAATTGATTAAATAGTAAATCTAAAGATAAATAAAGAATATGAAATATTACAGCAGATTAATAAAATGTAAAATATGCATTATAAAATGTAGAAGGGAAAATATTCAGAGTAAAAAATACATATTGTACATATTTTAGTGGAATAACCTATATAGAGGAATATAATGTGTGTGTGTGTGTGTGTGTGTGTAGCAAAAAATGTATGGAAATTGTATGTATACCGATACTGAAGTGTTGCCAAAAAAAATGAAAATTGTGTTATAAAATGAGGAAAACTGTTCAATAAAAAATAATTCTTAAAAAAGAGACATAAAAATGGACAGGGATCTGTTTACATGATGTTAATGCCACCTTAACCTTTTGACTCTCCTTTGAGTCTATTATATAGATTGAATTTCTTCCAGTATCTGAAAGCAACCGGAGTAATTTATTATCTTTATAAACTGCCTTTATTCCAGAAGTTTATAATAGCATTATGTATTTGTATTTATCTGAGTTCTCCCTATTTGAGTTGGGCTGACCCCAAACCAAACCAAAATGGACCTGAGGCTGGGTTTCCTCAGCCCTAGTACAACACCTTATCCATCGTATCACATTCTCTTTCCATAAGAAAATGGAATGGCATCCTATGTAAATGATTGTTCAAAAAACATTCTCAGGGGGTGCAATTTTCTTTAGGGCCATAACAGGAAAATCTTATTTCCTGCCTTCTATAATTTCAGGGTCAGACTCACTTTTTAAAAAACATGAATGTTAAATTTAAAGATGCAATTAAAATCCTCAAATTGCCAAAAGATCTTATAGGCTTTTGAGGGAAACGATAATAGCAAACTTACCATGATGGTTGAAATCATAGATGTAGTCTGGACAAGGAATCGCTGCTTTTTTACCTGGGAGGCTTGTTGGCCAGCAAATGATTCCATCCCATTCAGGTAAACAATGACCATCTAACAAGGTTATTGTTTCACAAGTCAAGAGAAAGAGATGTGGGAAAGAAAAAAAGCCGTGAACAGAGGGGTAAAAAGAGGTTTTAAATGATGCAAACAATAGCCAATATGCCTCTTATTTTAGTGCTGTGCTTAAACTGGGTAGAAAGCTTGCATTATAGTTCTTGAAGAATTTACAGGTAGTCCTTGACTTATGACCACAATTGGGACAAGAACCTCTGTTACTAAGTGTTGTTATTGTTAAGTGAACCAGGCCTAATTTTATGACTTTATGGTTGTTAAACAGAGCATTGCTTCACTGGGATCCAGTTTTGCCAAAACCTAGAAGTAAATGTAGACTTATGACCTTGGAGGGTTGAACAGCTATCGAAACTGGGTTTTAAGTGCCCCCACAGAGATCATAACTTCAAATAGTTGTAAATTAAGGATTACCAACAAGGATTATCAATTCGGAGCACAACTGGCACTCATCCATAGTTTTCCCACAATGGCAGCAAATCTTGGATTTCCATTAGAACACACAGCCAATGTTTTTATAACAATATATAACCAAAGCTGGTACCTTGGATTTGCTCCTTATGGCCATTTATTTGATTGTGACATGTTGATTTTGCTTCATTCAGCAAATAAATCTGTTCTTCTTTGGTTAGAACATCATCAGTATCCACCTGCCAAACATATAAGGAGGGAGAGGTAAGACACAGGGGGCTGCTGCATCCCCCTTCTTTCCCAAAACTGGATTATAAAATATCATTCCACAAACTAATCCTGGGAAAGAGAAATACAACTTTATTTGAGTTTCATTTCAAAAACAAAATAGTGTGATCAAGTCTGCACTGGAAGATCTTCTGAGGATATTGTGCCACATCAGCTATCAGCTTGACACCAGATATAATGGGAGAGAGAGAGAGAGGGAGTGAGGGAAGGAGGGAGTGGGGAGAGGCATAAGTTAGTTGGACAAAGAAGCACAAATAAAATCAGTCCTAAACAGTGATCATTAATTCACTCATTCATCATGATTTTTTGGATATCTAGTCAAAAGTGAAAGTAAAATAGGATGGAGACAATGGGTTGGCACTCAAGGAGTCTGAAGACAGCAGATATAATCACCTGAAGTTGACATTTCTAAGGAAAGTGGAAGGGGAAATATCTGTTGTACAGTATCCAGCTGCCAGGACTTTTTCTTCATTGGCTAGTTCCCAGATACCAAAGTTCTGTGACTCTTTTACATATTCTGAATTAAGAAAAAGTCATTGCATTCTAAATCACTGGCAAGAAAAATCACGCTGCTTTCATGAACCCTGCTCCATTTCCTGATTGGTTCCAGGAATTGAGTAGCAGTTTTTCTCAAACCTGGTGATGGTTCTTATTGGGAGTCTGATACATACATGTACAGATCTTATACATTATTATCTGGGACAAGTGATTTTGGGGAGCCTTAGAAACTTCTTCACAAGCTGTGCTTTCAGGTAGCAGTGGCACCAATTTCTATCAATAATCTAATTACTGATAGTTTATACAGCTTCATTTTCTTTCCTAGCCTTGATGTGTAACTACATAGTTCCTGTGTTTTTATTATTCACACCTTTAGGAATTGCCTGAGAAGATACTCTCAGACTTACTTTAGCCAATTCATGCAATTTCCATTCATTTCTTCACTGATATGCTTTATTGACATTACTGGGCCTATATAATTCAGGGTTACATTTTGTTTTCCCTGTAGTTTCTGCTGCTTAAAATCATAACAAAATCATGTTAGAAGAACAGAGTAATGTATTGTTCAATAGCTTCAGCAAGTTAAACCTATCACCCCCTCCTGATCTTTCAGAAATTAGACAGGATTAGGTTTGATTAGTACTTGGATGGGGACCATGGGAAAACTAAGACTTTATGCTAAGCAGGGAAAATATAGAAATATTCTGGAAGAAGGGAATAGTAGATACTTCAGTCTTTGCTTCCCATAAAATACAACAGGGTATGTGTCAAGCCACCAGGAGTCAAGCTTTATTCCTCACCATCTTTCCCCCCTTTTTCAAATATTACATTTATTGATTTGTTTTCATTCATTCACGTATGGTCCATCTTCCAAGACTCTAGGAAATTTGCAATAAGATTAAAAGCAAATACAGGTAGTCCTCAGCATGCGATCATAATTGAGCCCAAACTTTATGTCGCTAAGTGAAACCTTGTTAAGTGAGTTGCATCTTATATTATGATATTTTATGCCACATTGTTAATGGAATCACTTTACCTGTTAAGTGAATCATGCGGTCATTAAGTTAATCTGGCCTCCTCCATTGATTTTGTTGGAAGCTGTCTAGGAATGATCACGTCATTTGAACAGTACAACCATCACAAATACATGCCAGTTGCCAAACACCCGAATTTTGATCATATGACCATGGGAATGCTACAATGGCCGTCAGTGTGAAAAACTTTTTTTACTTTTTTCGATGCTTTTGTAACTTTGATCGGTCACTAAACAAATTGTTGTAAATCAAGGAATATAGAAATTAAAATTTTGCTTCTGAAGGCATGCAACAATTGCGATTATTTTGATTGCATTGTAAGGCTGCAGTGAATAACAAAAACCATCGGATATTGGTAGGGATATCAGTAAGGCTATATGGATTCACATATTATTTTGGTGTTGTTTCCAGGAGCATGCTAGCTGAGGCTTTGGGAAACATGAACTCCAGCAAATCTGGAGGCATATAGGTTGGAGAAATAGAGATTAGTTTAGAGATATTGGATGGATGGATAGATAAATAGACAGGGATGGGATTGAGAGAAATACTTAACCGCTTAAGCAATCTGAGAATGGCTACTGAAAAGTGCTCCCTTAATTATGAGCCCTAGGGGGTAGCCCAAGGAAGCCAAGATTTCTGGTGGTATCAGATGTATGAAAAAGCTATATTCAGAGCATGACTATGAGATTGCATTGTGTTAGTCAAGGACTGACTCATTTCCTGTAAAAATTGTCAGGAAACAGGAGAGCTCAGTAAGATAAAGCAAGGCAGCACCAGAGATTACTCAAGTGGGCCCCAGTGATATCAGCTGCAATTAGGTTGCTCATCTGCAAATCTTGATAAAGACTTTCACATTAATGAAATTTCCATTGTGTCCTCCTAGCCGCTGGGGTGTGCGTATATACATGTGGGGGAGCTGCAGTAGGCCCCTGATGAAGGCCCAGCTGCTGAGGAGGAGATTCATCAGGGACAATGCTGCCAACTGTTTAGCACTAGGAATAGAAGGCAAGCTTTTCAGACTGGACATGAACAGAATGTGAGTCATAAAATCAAAGGAGGGAGGGAGAGAGAGAGAGACTGATTAACAGGTTCATATCTTGGAAATCATTCATGCAATATAATAAAAGGTATCAGTTCCACAATTGCATGGATTTTAATTTTTGTTTTTTGGGGGTGAGTGTGGGGTAACATTTTAATTATTATAAATTATTGAAATACATTGGGTTTGCATATTCTTACTAAGCTACATTATAATTTAGTTCTCTTAGTGTATTATTTACCTCCACCACAACCTGTAAAATAAGGTTTACAGCTAAGATGTGTGAACCCATCTGATTGTTATTTGTTCAGCAAATCAGGTTAAAGCTTAGTGCACTCTTTCCCAATCTGCTATCTTGTAGGTGTGCAAATGCTTCAGTTCTCAGCATTCCAGCCAGCTGACACCCAACACTTGTGGAAGGCATCAAGTTGGAGAAGGCTGGACCATGAACCTTGCTCCAAGATCATCAGCAACAAGAGTTAAGGCACCAGGCTAGTCAGAAGGAGACCATGAGTTCTAGTGCCACTTTATCTATGAATGCCAGCTGGGTGGCCTTGGGCCAGTCTCTCTCTCAGGCCAACTCACCTCCACAGGGTTGTTGTTGTGGGGAAAATAGAAGGGAAGTGTGCTAGATATGTTCACCACCACCTTGAGTTATTTGTAAAAATAATGTGAGATACAAATAAATAAATATACAAGCACATATTAAATAATGCAGCAACAGTACAGGTAGTCTTCAACTTACAACGGTTTGTTTAGTGACAGGTCAAAGTTACAACAGCACTGAAAAAACTTATTTTGACTGCTTTTTATAGTTATGACCATTGCAGCATTCTCATGGTCATATGATCAAAATTCAGAAGCTTGCCAAATGACTTATAGCAGTGTCCAGGAGTCATATGTTATTATTATTACCTTTATTGTCAGAGTACAACATGTGTACAATGAGATTGGCTGAGCCTCCCTTTGTGCATCCCCACCAACACAACTCACAGTAAGGACAGAAGTCCCTAACCTAGTCCCAATCTTATTACATTGTGTGACCTTATTGCACAACGTGCTGGCCCTGCAAGTCTATCATACTATGTTGAAGTTATTTTCTGTTCAGAAGTCTGACAGCCCGCGGGTAGAAACTGTTCTTCAGGCTGTTGGTGCAGCTGGCTATGCTTCTATTTCTCCTACCTGATGGTAGGACAGTAAAGAAGTGCTGACCAGGGTATGAATCATCCCTGAGAATTTTCTTCACTCTTCTGAGGCAGCGATCCCTAGCGAGGTCATCTAGTGGTATCAGGGAACAGCCCACGATGTTTTGTGCTGTGCTCACCACCCTCTGTAATGTCTTTCTATCCACGGCTGTCAAGCCAGCATACCACACCGTAATGCAATATGTGAGGAAACTTTCTATTGTGGACTAATAAAAGGAGGTCATCAGTCATTGTTCCACTTTATTCTTTCGTGAGGCCCTGAGGAAATGGAGTCTCTGTTGGGCCTTTCTGGCCACCTGGGTTGTGTTGATTTTCCAGGTAAGATCTTTGCTGAGGTAGACTCCCACGAATGTAAAGGAGGAAACACTGTCCACACAGCCCCCCTTGATGTAAACGGGGGCGGGTTCCTCTCTCTTCTTCCTTGATCACTTTTTGCAACCTTCTGACAAGCAAAGTCAATGGGGAAGCCAGTTTCATTTAACCACCATTTTACTAACTTAACAACTGCAATGCTTCATTTAATAACTGTGACAAGGAAATTCATAAAATGGGGCAAAACTCACTTGTCGAATGTCTTGCTTAGTAACCAAAACTTTGGGCTCAGATGTGGACTCTCTTTAATGATGATACTGTTCTAAAAATTCTGTATTTATTGCAATTATCACATCCAATTAGTTGGTTGTGTGGATGGATAGAAATAATGTTTAAGGTGACCGCCATCAGTTGGCAGAGATATCAGAGATTCCCTGCTAGCTTCTGAAATTCTTCTGCTGCAGACTCTGCCATTCCTACGTCGTTATGTGACACCTCTCACCCTCTTAACACCCAGTCATTCTCCAATTGCTCTCACAGATCACACAGGGATGCATAGCGGCTGAGCCAGTAAAGAACAAGGCACCTCTTCTCCAGGTTAGCTTTTAACAACTCCATACTAAAGTTAACAAGCAATCCAGAGACAAACAGACCAAACAGAGAGGGGGAATTGAGGCAATTGCAAATATATATGTTATATTCAAGTCTTCCAGAAATCAGAGTTGGGTGGTTACACATTTCCTCTACCCTCTGGAAATCCGCAAGGAAGAGAGAAGTACCAGGATTATTGCCTTCTTCAACTATATCAGTGTTTTTCAAACTTGGCTACATAAGATGTATGGACTTCAACTCCTAGCTGGGGA